TGATACCAGTAATTCATAGTGTTACACTTTTATATATTGACATGTAGATGCGTTGTGCCATAGCAAGCTTTCCTGTGGCCGAGAAACACTTTGGCCTGGATGCTTTGCTATGTTGAAGGCTTAGATAGGATTGTCATATAAAACCCAGTGGGAGAGGAAACCTAATAAGACGGCTTGTCATATGGCCGACCACAGTCTCTATTCTGGTTCTAGTCCAGGACTGGAATAGGGGGAATAATTGTTCCTGATGATAAGACTGCTTGATCATATGGTCAGCTACAAGACAGGGTTGGGGTTTATTCAGGGGAGAAAAAAGGTGTGTTCCTATTGTTTCTGGTCTGGCTACTTGTGCAGGTCCCATTATCCAGTTAATGTTCCATATGCATGGACTCTGGCTGTCACAAAATATGTCATGTATTAACCATGTTGATGTATTCATAACTTAGGGTTTGTGCAGAAGAATTTTAGAATTTCAAGAAATATTTTGATTTCAAATTAAAGCATTCTCAGTCTGAAAATAGTTTGTCATTAGGTACTCAGTAACCATTGTTTGTAATATTGCACTTTTACTATTGTGCTTGATTGTTTTATCACAATGTGCCTTCATTCCAGCCATCGTTTATCATTGTTTCTGTACATTTTTACATCATAATGTTGTTATTGTTTAAATTTCTACTGTCTCATACATTAACCAGTAGACAGTTCTTGCAATTATTGTTTTCTCTTCACGAATTTTCATGACATGAAACGGCCTTCTTGACTAATATAAAAATTCATGTTAGGATGAATATATAACAACCATATCCAATAATTTTTGAGAAAAATAGAAGGTTTTTGAACGTGTAATGCACTCTTGAGTAATAATATATGTAATGTACCATCATAATTTTATATTATTTTAGGAGCTTTGTCATTTTGGAGTTTGCTCATAAATTTCCGTAGATGTAAACTTTCTAGTAAAAGTTTCTAACACAACACTATAATTATGTATAGTATGAGCTGCTTTTGGTAAATGATTGGTGATGTAATTTCACTCAGAGATGAGTCTCATTCAATTCTCAGTGAGTGCGCTCGACCTCTAAGCAAATCATCCTAAAAATTCACCAAGTCTAAAGTTTTTAGTCGGATGAAAATTTGAAGGGTCACTGGGTTACTGGTCCAGTTCTTTGATTATGGAAAAATATTCAGCGTTAATTGCTTCATTATTGAAGGGAAATTCACACTTTCCAATATATAGTAATTTCCAAATTTTCTGAAATTTCCAAATTTTCTGGTTCCGTATTTATAGACTTGGAATAAAATAAGGAAAATGTTTCTCGTACCAAATTATCATTATTCCCAAATCTCTTGAAATGACCAAATTGAATGTTGATATACTATTCCACTGCTGTTGATTTACTCACATATTGTGCATGCATATATTATACATTGAATAGTTTTTTTTATATGTAATGAGACCAATTATTTTCTGCGCCAAGCACATTTCTGAGTTTTGACAAATTTTTTCAAAAATGTTAGTTCGATCACGCTGCTGGAGGTTGCTAATATAAGAAAACATAAAAATGTAACTGAAGGGAAGCCTTATTTGCTGTGTTGTCATTGGCTAATATACCAGAAGGGGCATAGCCATGGGGGAGGGAGGGTTATGGGTTCAAAAATGCACACTTTTCAAACTAAATGTTTTTTGAACATTAGTATGGCATTTTGCTTTTATTATCATCATTGAAAGCAATGATTTTCAACTCCTGACCCCGGGAAATTTAAAATTCAACTCTGTTTCCAACTCAAAAATCCTACTCTATTGAAAAACACTAGCCTCTTGACCTCAACATCCTTGGCTCTTACCAGTCAGAACCCTCTCTTATGAAATGTGAAAAAAGGCAGCTTCTGTACCATACATAGCAATTGGTCGTGTCTTTTTAAACTCTAAAGACTTATATGAACCCACGTTTTCAGCCCTGGTCGCACCGTTACCGTCTGAATTCACAATGAGAAATTTCAGAGCCCCCCCCCCTCTTTTGAAAAAAATATTGGCTACTCCTCTGGTTACCATATATGACCTTGATTTCAAAGAGGAAAAATGTAGTCAATACTCCTGCTTTGTTGTATTGCCTTGAGAAATATAAAAATTTAACGTCAATTTTTTTCTTAAATTGTGCTTGGCTTAAAACTGTCTTTTAATATGATATGTTGGTCTCCCATTAATGGTGGCATAAACCACAAATATTATTATCAGCTATATTACTCTCGCCGTTTTTGTAACTCCTCACTGATTAAAAACATGATCTTGTGATTTTCACAAACTTTGAGAATTCATTTTGTTGAATATCGGGGGACGTAGACCTTCGCTATAAAGGCTTCTGACAAGCGACCATATTCTCACTCGATGGTTGGCACGTCGTGTTAGGCGTTAGTAAGACGCTTGCCACTTGCTTTGCACCCTTTGTGGGGCGACTACGGTTTATGCGGGAGAATTGATAGACTCTTGACAGTTGTGGGGTTGTTCATTCAACCGCCTAGAATAACCACCGACAGTCCGGCTCTCTTGGTTGGTTGTTCAATGATATGCGGTCACCATGGCGACCGCGGCTTGTCGTGTCTGGAGTTGCTTTCTTTCGTTATTAACCGGGTTACCGGGTCGCTTAATGGCGTCTCAAGTCCGGCTTTTGTTAGTATTTTATGTTTGACTTCTTTCTCATTATGATTTAATATTAGACTTACTGCCTCAAAGGGGACGCTGCATGATAACCTTCTCTGGTTTATCGCGTCTCCCTTCACAATGAAATGTAATTTTTCATTTTTTCAATTTTGTTCGTCAATGTTTACATTCGGTTTGTGATAAAATAAACTACTGGCTGGTCGGTTACCATTTACTCAAGTTCATGCATCCGAAACTCACACTGGTCTACTAGTCTCATACCCGACATTTGGGAAATTGGTATCCAATAAACAAGAAAGTCGTGAGAATTTCATGCATGATGTAAATGGCAGTCTGACAAAAAAAAATACAGAAAGTGGGAGACCAAATACAAATTGGCTTCTACTTTTATCCAAATCTAAACTTTATTATTTTCAATAAGGCAAATTAAATTACGCTAATGTACCATGATTATGCATGTGAGTCAACTCAGTATTTCATGTTGTATTAATAAAAAGTAATACAAGTTCTAATTATGGAACTTTGTTGTAAATCTTGACGCATTGCATTATCGGATGTTCCAAAACTAGCCTTAACGTAATTACCCTATTAGTATGCTAATTGGTAATATATGATGTAAGTCGCAATATCAGAGTTTGTGCAACTTTCTATACAGGAGGACCAGATACAAAAAAATGGGTGAAACCGCGGGCCGCATTTTTATTGAACATAGGCTTTCTGATAGGCGCAGGCACAAAAATTGTGTAATTGATCTTATGACATGTGCTGTTCGCTTCGCACAATGTAGTTGTTAGTGTATTGTAACGTCATAGGCGTAGATAATTATTAATATCATAAAAAATATCATCGAATCACCCGCTCGAATCAGACTAAACTCAACACCAAAACTAAATTTAGTTTGAGGGCCGCACATGATTTAAAATTGGCACTTCTACGCGGGCCGCACAGTTTTTCCTTGCAGGTTTGCACACCCTTGCTGTATATGATAAGTTTCCTTGTGCGTCAGCGATAGTTGTGAATAAGACGAGTTTGTATTCAGGGACAGATGTCGCTGCTCGATAACCAACTTTAGTTTTTCGCGTCACCTTTAACCATGAAATGACATTTTCAACCTTTTTTTAAGTTCATGTTCACTATAAGTGCATTTCATTCTGGTGAAAAGTAAACTACTCAGTGCCCGGTGCCATTTTGACAGGGCGCAAAAAGTCTTAATCGTAAATTGTGTTGAGAAAACCACCCCCGCCACGTTTTAAAATAAAAATATAGTAATTATCTAGCAGTTAGGGTTAGGAATGATTTGAATTTTCAACGCAATCTGCATTCCTAACCCTAACTGGATAACTTCTACTTCTCTTACTTTAATTGTGAGCGTGGCCTTTGTACAAAAGATCACTACTTTGCAACACACGTTTGCATATTTCTCGTCCATCTTGTTTCTAGCCACAATACAGAAACGAATGTTAGGCAATAACCATCGACTCTCGTAAATTCTGAGCGATTTTTTTGGCGTCCACAAGTATGTGTACAAATATGGAGGTAACTAATTTTGTTCGCCTACTTTAGATCAATCTGTGTAAAGGGACTGAAATCTATGGGCAGGGGTATATTCACTTGGCTTACACAGACAGTCCCTGAACTCGTAATAGAACTAAAATAAAGAAAATAAAATTATGGCCTAACCTGGTGCACATACTATGGGATTACTGATTTTGTAGCATATCTAGCTTGTAATGTAACCATCTGATTTGCAAATTTGAAAAAAAAAAAATTGTGTGGAGTTGCCATTCACAGGTGCAAAGTCGGGTATATGCCAACACTTAATAGCTTATATAAAGTTTACAAAGTCACACTCACTGTGGAGTTTCTTTGTTTTTAATAATTTAGTTATTTTTTTCAATGGGCAAAATCTCATTGCTATAAAGTCAGAATCGGGCCTAGAGGAGAGGCATAGCATTGCAGGGGGAAGCAGGCCCACGTGAATTGCTTTCTCCTAATAAATGAGTTTGATCTTAAACATGTGAGTTTGTTGCTTAGTTTGATGATTTATTTAATAAAACAAACGTTTCTATCTTACTTGACCTTCTATTTATTTATTCTTATGTATAGCAACATCTATAATTTGTTTACCCCAAATTATTTTTGAAGTTAGGTATAAGGGGCAATATTATGAGAAACTCGCCCTGAACAGCGGAAAAGTTTGGCGCATCCCGGTATATAGCCAACTATAAAATTTTCAACACCCAGCTTGGAAATAGAAAATATTATTTCAATTGTATAATTTATCATATATATTTTAATTAAGTTGAAATAGTTATACAAAATGGATATATTTGTAACCTTATTTACCATTATAACATTAACAACTATGACAAACACTGCATGGGATTCAAGCTTTATTAATCGTACTACAGCAGTCCCTGACACGGGAAACACTTCATTAAGGGCCGTTGAAAATAAAAATACAAGAAACATATCCATTGAATTTTCGACGGCTTTTTCGCGATGGTTTTGTTATGAGAACAAACAGCCTATTGAAGGCTATAAAGCCAAGTGTTGCAAAGATGAATATGATAGATATGAAGAGCGATGGTTTAACGGTGGATATTACATAACTACATTACTAGAGAGATTGGAAAGATGGCAGTGTGAGGAATTTAAAATGGAATGCACGAATCGAACTTACAATTTCACAACTTTTACTGATTTAGTTTACGATAAATTTTGTGATCGAAGAAGTATGGAGTTTAAGTGTAAATCAGTTGTAACTTCAGCTGTTGAAGATTATGAATTCTTAGATTCGTCTGACATTGAAAAACTCGAATGGATGACTTTGGCGAATTCACTCGTATCGTCTAAAATGAAGATACACGATGTCATAAAACCTTGCATTCAAATTGCCATCTTTGACAGTAATTCTGGCGGAGTGGGAAGAATCCATGAAATCGTGGAACCGTATTTACCGTTCTGTGGCTTATTATGGGATGGATATGACATAGACACTGCAGAAAATGTAACCGTATCGGCTTGGACAAACCTTAATGTGGGGTAAGTTCGGTGCAATTTTACAGGGGTGTAGTCAGGAATTTTTCAAGGGGGGGGGGGTCGTTGGGGGGTTCTAAAAATTTCCAATTGCCAAATTAGACAGTAAAAGCTGACGGGCCCGGCTGGAGCCCGGAAAACATGGGCTTTCAAGATTCTTGATTATTTAAAAAGCATTCGAAGTTACAAAAAATGCTATGAATGATACAAACTAAGGCACACACACGCGCACACACACCTACACACACCCACACACATACAATCATCGGACCTTCAGGAGAATGTGCATCGAAATGGCGCACAACTTGAACCTAGTATGTGTACCATGTTAGGGTTCAATCATCGAGACTGAGACATGATAAGGTCGGGAGTGAAAAAAGCCGTAAATGGGTTTCTTCTAATTTCTGGAAAATATATTTAGGCGCTGTCTATACCAGGGCTACTCAACTATTTTTATCGAAGGTCCGCAAACAAAACTTCAAAATTATTTGGGTCCGGTCTTTCTAGAAATAATATTTCGGCATCCTTAAACGAGCACTTCCTCGACCGACTAATGATTAGTAGCAAATTAAAAGTGTTTATTATGGTGTTATAGTTCTTTTCGTATACATTCAAAACTATGAAAGTCATTTTATAATAGGAAATTCAAAAAGTGGGGCTAATGATCCAAAATAAATAATTAGGTGCGGTCCAAATCCGATTCTCGAAAGGTCCGGATTCGGACCGCAGTCCGCCAGTTGAGTAGCCCTGGTCTATACGACCCTACATTCCTATCATAAATGGCGCAACTGGTAAAGCGTTTTACTATGCAAGATCGTAGTAGGGAGGGGGGGGGGGGTTCGTATATTGATGTAAATACGAAGTGGGATAGATAAAAGTAGCCACCGACATATAACAAATTCCTTTTTTATTATTTTCAAAGAGAAGGAAAGGGGAGGGGGCGAATAAAGAGCATCTTATAAATTAAAGCTTCAATGGACCTTTCCCCGACCTTTGACCCCCGGAAAATTCTTCCTATACTTTACCATTGCAAAATTTTCGGGGCTATTTTAAGAGTGCTTTTGCGAGTTGGCGCCTGTAAAATGGGGTATGTGTTTCAAACCATCATTATGATTCATCGCATACAACAATCTGTTATTTGAAAGTACCGGTAAAGAATTTCAGGCTTGTCTACCACAGCTATTTCTACACTAATTTTCATTACTGCAATTAAATTAAAACTCCTAGGAAGACAGAGTGATCATTGAATTATCTGATTTATATTTGAGTTTCCGAAACACAACTGAAAACTAACGAATAAAGTTCAAAAACGCGAAAACGAGGTAATGTTTACAACCACGCTTTAAAATATGTCTGAGTGAGAAAAGTGTCTGAGCGGATGCGAAAAGTGGGCATTGTTACATCACTTTTTGCATCTTGCGGATTGGCCAGTGTCACAAAGTAAACAAGGAAGTCGATGCTCGGGGAAAGGTCCATAGCCCGGCTGAATCCTTTACATATGTCATAAGTTACCGAGTTTCCTATTAATGTGACGCAATAAACAATAAAATTTAAAAAATATCTCTATACTCAAATTATTGTAAGAGCATTTAGACGCGAACACCGAATTCTTCTGTGTGAGATATATTAATCCACTCATTGAGTTTTTGAAGTCAAATTTACATTTTATTTCACGTGTAGGTTAATTAACATGTTACAGCACATCAGTTTCGTTATAAAATATAAATAAACTGAACTCGTGGTTTGTTGGATAACATACAGAAGCAACATACGGCTAAAGGTCGTGTAATGATTGATTCTTGTGACGGTATGATCGTGATTTGCATTGAGATTCGTTCTCTCGGGAACAAGCATTCGAAGTTACAAAAAAATGCTATGAATGATACAAACTGAGGCACGCACACGCGCACACACACCCACACACATACAATCATCGGACCTTCAGAAGAATGTGCATCAAAATGGCGCACAACCTGAACCTAGTATGTGTACCATGTTAGGGTTCAAGTTTTGACGAGTTGGCCTATCGTACAAAATGTTTGTATCACCACTAGTCACTACTGTCTTGCAAATAAAAAGACTTGTTAGATTTGGTCTTGCACGCCTTATTTTGGATATTTACATTTCTTTATTTTGGATATTCACGTTCCATCCACGTATTTTATTAGGTGACCGAATATTTGAACCCACGTACATTTGAACTCATACATTTGCACCCGTATATCCGCGAGTTCAATCTATATGCGGGTGCTAAAATCCATGGGTTAGGGTTAGTATGGGTTCAAATATTCGTAAAAATTTTTTTTCATAGGTGCAATTGCCGTGGGTTCAAATGTAATGGAACCATTTTAATATCCATTTAATGCTATATGTGGTTCAGCTGCCAAAGCCATACTCATCTATATTAAAAGTGTTCTAAAAACCTAATTTCCGACCTTAGAATTTAAATTAGATATTGAAACTTGGAAGTCGCTGCTCGATAACCAATCCTGATTCCCCGCGACTTCCCTTTCCCAGTAAAAATGTGTCTTCAATTTTGTATTCGTATGCTATTTTTTACTGGATGGAAAATTAAACTTGACTAAGACCATGACATTCCATACATTATTTAATCCTTCAAAATGAGGACAAATCTTAGAAATAAGGACGTTATGGCAGCCCTGGTTGTAAGTTTGGCAAGATTTTCTGAAATGAGAAAACTTGAATTAGTAATTTCAATACAAAAGAGAACCCTTTCTTAAAATTTTGAATCCCATCACCGATTGTTCCCAGAAGTTTGAGTAATATAAGCTTTGCACAGGATTTCTGAATGCTCCCGAAGTATGTGCACCCAGATGGCGCACAGCCTGAATCCTAACATGATACACATACTATGTTCAGGTTGTGCGCCATCTTGGTGCACATACTTCCGGAGCTCCCATTTCTGCTCTCTCTCTCTAATACGTCCCGATGATTTGGAATCTATTTTCGTTGCTCACTCTGTACATTCGATAGTTTTATTTACTTTAAATTTATGCCACCATCGCGAATGATACCTAGGATCTAATTTGAAAAATCTGCATTAGGTAATCGTGTCCAGTTACTTTGGAATTTGCAGCAATTTTATTTCTAAAATCATTTTTATAATTTCAGATGTGCAATCGGAGTTGGAATATGCATGGCCGTGATGATAATTGCAGGCATCGCAACAATAATAGCTAACGTGACAATCTTAGCCGTTTTTGCCACAAATAAAAAACTAAGGAACACACAATCTATCTATCAAATATCTTTGGCCATAGCTGACTTGATTGTCGGGCTCATGGTCTGGCCTAACATGATCGTGATGCAATTTCTCGTTTTTATCAACCCACGATTGATGGGTGACGTCATCACTTTGGAATCATTGACGGATGACGGCAAAACTGCGTATTTCCCGAACTCAAATGGTAGTTGGGTGCAAAGATTCCCGGGTGGGACATTCGGAGAAGCCATTTATCGTCCATATATGAATTATTTAGGATTTTTCACAAATATGAGCATTACGGTATCGATATATACTCTAATGGCCGCCAGTATTCATCGTTTACGTGCAGTTTCATCGCCGTTAAATTACCATAACGACAATGTTAAAAAGCATGCATACGTGGCGTGTATCATCATCTGGGTAATATCAGTCATCACGAGCATTCTGCCAGTACTTGTGCGATCAATACAATACACTGCTATATCATCAATTATGATCGCGCCTGAAAATGGAAACGCACTGTTGCTCGTCACATTCGTGTTACCGCTCATCACAACATGGATTGTCTCTGCAGCTACGTTAGAAGTATCAAGACGCTACGCTCAAAAACGAAGCAGTCTCTCCTCTCACCAAAATGCTGCAAATTTAGAAAAACGAATGGCTCGAACTCTTGGACTCATGGTCGGTGTTTTCAGCATCAGCGTTTTGCCAGCTACAATGTGTATTGCCGTTGGCCTTGTTCCAGAAACTGTGTTTTACTGGACGGACCCACAAAGGCTCAATGTTACAAATGCGAACATTTATATGTCGTTTTCTTACATATCCATCATAATTCTAACTGCTAATAGCTTATGGAACTGCTTCATATACAGTTTGAGGAATTTGGAATTTCGTAAAGCTGCAGTGGGAATTTATACAAAAATGTTCCATGCCATCGGAATAGCCCAAAGACTAAATGAAGCTAGAATTATCGGCCCGGCATCAAAATCTGATTCAACAGTTAACAATAATACTGTTCGGAAAGTCTGAATGATATCTGTGACATTAGTTCGCAAACGGCGGGGCGCGACCCACAAAGGGGCGTAGACAATTATTCGAGAGGCCGAGAAGCTAATTGTAAATAAAAATATTTGTTAAATTTGATCTTGCACGCCTAATTCTGGATATTTACATTTCTTTTATTTGAATATTCACGTTCCACTCACGTATTTTTCGAACGAGATTTTAAAAAAAAACATACTTTCGTCTTACTATTTGTAGCCTATTGTTAGCTGGTTATTTTTGAGGTGGGGAGCGAGACTCGACAACTTCTAAAAATGGGGCTCGGCTTGAAAAGTTTGAGAACCACTGAAATCGATGCCATATATATCGTCAGATGCTTATTGACTATTCGTTCATTGCCTGTTTCTTTCTCAGTATGCTTACTATATTCATTTGTTTGATCTTTTTTATTATTATCTATCCAGACCCAGAACCAAGTGCGTAGCAAAGATTTTTTTAAGGGGGAGGGGGGGGGTATAAGTGTGGTTTTTTTTCGAAGAGGGGGGATTATTTCTAGCCATCGTTTCTTTTAGAAGTCTTGTTCATTATGCTATACTATATTCATTACTTTACATTTTTTTTTATCTATTTTAGCCCAGAACATACAATGAACCCCACTTCGTATCTTTGCTGTAATAACAATTTGCCATAAGTTTCATATTTATTCTGACACAGAACCATCGGTGTGGAGTTGGAAAAATTTAAACCTGATTCCAAATCCGTTTCAATAAAAGACGACTCCAAGTCCCGCTCTCCACTTTGAGAAAGCCAAACAGTTATGTCGTTCAATGTCGGCCTTAACTATTGCGTGATCGTTACGTGAAACCCAGGGCTGGATTACCCATTTAGCAAAATAAGCATGTGCTTAGGCCTTAGGGCACCAAGAAAAGGGTAAATTTGATCTTGAAATTCAGTGTGCACGGATACAGAGCGATAGCTGAAAATGATATTTTTAAATTAAATTATCTCCACCATTTTAAGTTCAATAACACGATTGAAGTAACTCTACTTTATGTTTACATTATGATTTTTAAACTCTTATAGCTTTTAATTCAAATACATTGGTAATATTGCTTCAATCTGGGGTAAGAAAGTATGTTTCAAAATATAAAGGGTGTCCATAAAATTTCTTTGCAATTTCAATTTTGTTTTGAAGTCAGTTCTCAGTATATCTTAACCAGGTTTGTTGTGTTTTAATCAGTAATTGTTCATACATTTTTACTTCATTTGAAACATCTGTGAGGGTCAAAACAGTATATGGTATCGATAAATTCCCTTTTTTTAATTTAAAAATTTTTAGGACTTTCTGGACACGCTATAATTCTTTGTCATATTTTTAAACAACTTTTTCTTATCAAAATTTCAACATACGCCTTTTCGTCTTGAAATTTTTGAATTAAAATTTTATGAAAGAAAATGAGAGTGTTTTCACTTTTTATTGCTATTAACTGAGGACAGAATATTCCTGGCGATGTCCCTGCTAATTCGCAATAATGCACTATTATTAATATGTACTATTTTCTTGCCCATGGTGTTGCTCAACGTTTTGGGAAGCAAAAACAGGAAAACCGACACCTTCATATATTCTTTGGAGAAATATATTCAACAATGTTATAACCGAACAACAATATAATCCGAAATATGACGAAAATTTATTCAACGAAAGAAAAAGAGAGCAGAATAAAATGTCTACATCGGCGAAGTCTCGGTTAATTCTGTCGGATATCTTGACTCCGATCTGAAACTTGACGCCGTCACCCACTTGCCCGAATCGTCATTGTCCAACTCTTTCGACTTTGAACGGACTGATCTCTTATGCTTCCGACAAAGTTTAGCGTTCGCGCTAAAATAACCAGTATCTAGATTTGATAACGTTGAAATTGTCGAAATTTTTCGACCCTTTTTGTCGGGAACTTCTTGCAAGTCTGTTGACGCAATACAACCCGATTCTGAGTTTTTGACGTCATCATTATTTTTATTGACGTCATCGGTTACGTCATTTTGCTCTTCGTGAACTGTAATTTGTGGGACGATTTGTCCCATTTCAATAGCACAGTGCGGACAATCTTCGTCTTCGCTTTCAGTACAGTCCGCCACACAAGAAAATAAACTTCCTTTTCTTTTTGCTTTCTGATGTTCTGTTTCGTGTTTTTCTCTTTGGTACATTACTCCTGGTTCGTCGTCTCTGTAAATAAATAATTAATAACAAATTATTAGGATAATGCTGTAGGCTGAAAACACGAGCAATGTTTAGACATGCAACAAATAAGCAGATGCCGTGTTTCCCCGATAATAAGACAGGGTCTTATTCCAAATTTCTTTCAAAATATAACACTGCGGCTTATTTTTGGAGGGATGTCTTTTATTTTCGTTTATCGAAAAAAAATTACTAAGTAAAGAAATATGAGATTTTTGAATACAAAAAATATGAAAACCAATATCCATTTACTTATGAATAACACGTTTACGTGTAAAATAACTGCTAAACGTAGATTACCATTTAGAACGAATAGGAGAGATTTCCAGGCTAGGTCCTATTTTTGGGGAAACACTATAGCAGTGGTGTGCAAACTGCGGCCCGCGGGCCAAATGCGGCCCGCAAAAAGAAGTTGTGCGGCCCGCGGAGAAATAACAATTTCGAATGGTGTACCAGCAAAACGAGTATTTATTTTTTTTTCGTCGCAAAGCCCATACCAGTCATATTAGCAAAACTAGCTAGCAAAATTCTGTTGCAAAATACACGATTTATATTATAAAAACGTGTTTCTCACTGCATTCGTTTGAAGTTGGTGTGACAAAAAATTTAAATAGCAGTTTCTTCAGAAGTTTATGCATTTTAAATCTACTATTTCTGCAAGAACCCCTAATAATGCCGTAAAATCAATAGCAAATATAGGCAATTTTTGTGCTTGCAACTACCAGAAAGCCTAAAGTAAATAAAGGTGCGGCCCGCGGCTTCACCCAGTTACTTGTATTTGGCCCGCCAATAAAAAAGGTTGCACACCCCTGCACTATAGCATCAAAATTGTCTGGCATTGATACATATAGCAATTTATGAAAAGGATCATGAGATAAATGACTCGAATATATGAACACGAAACTCGATTGTCTAATACAGAATCTAAGCCAAATTCCAGCCAAATGTAAAACATTCGTGCCCATTGCTATGCTGTATGAAGGGTCGACCTTGAATTACAAAACAGCAAAATTCGGCGTGAAATATTTGTTAAGGAAAAAAATTACCGGCACGATATGTAGATTACTTTTGTTATGGTGGATAGTTGGATACACATTTGAAAAGTAAAGCAGACAACTAAAAATTATTATTTGGTGTTCCAATAAGTTTTGTGATATAACAAATGGGATCTTCAGTACAAAGCCCCCGCCTCTAATGCAAAAATGTGAGATTTGAGAATAACATTCCCGCCACGTTTTAAAATAACAATTCAGTAATTATCCAGTTATAGTTCGGTTCTGAAACGATTATGAATTTCTAATTTTCAACGCAATCTGCATCCGTAACTAACCCAAACTGGATAAATAATTTGCTTATTTTGCGAGTTGACGGGGTATTCATTTGGTAGGGCCTTAGTACAAAAAGATCCAAAAAGTATTTCGCGATTCAGAAAGGTTTGAAAAAAAACTGCCAACAAACATAAACATGCATGGATGAAGTTGATTGACCTTACAACAGGTTGCGCAAAAGACCCGACATCGAAGATCTTATACAATTTCAGCAAGATAAGTGGAGTCGAGCAAAATTTTAATCAAACTCAAATGCATTTAAACTAACTCCATATTTACTCCGGGATGATAAAATTTTAAAACCGAAATTCTCGCAGGTCTATTAGTAAGGAAATTTCAATTTCGACTGGTGAATTTTAAAAATCCAGACTTCAACTTCGCTCAAAGAAATTGAGAGTAATAGCGTATTCGACTATTTATGTTAGAGAAAAAATGGCAAACACCGCCTAACTCAGCTTTTAGGAACACAGCGGTGTGACCATGCAGGCGAAAGTGTCGCTAACTAGTCATCGTCAAGCAGCGATGAAGACGACAGTTAAAATGACGACACAAAGGTGCTTTAACTGACAATGAAAGTGTATTATGATGTCATACAACCTACAGAACATCTGTTGCCGGTGTCGCCTGTTCTTTTCGTTTAGACGTCGCATAGTCGTCTGTGGCTTTATTTCCGAGATACCTGTGAAATTTTGAATTGAACTTGAGTTCTAACAACTTATCGCATTTGAAAAATGCTCTTTTGATTAGAGTTTGATGCTATTTTTGTTAAGTAACGTGTTCTCTATTAAATTTCTGGTTACCCTGTGTGGCAGAGGCAAGATTCTGCCAATAATGGAAGTGGGAGAAGTTTGCTGCGGGGTGATTCAGAGACCTGCAAGTGAATTTGGAACAAGATTTTCAGGTATCATTAGCTCGTTTTTGTGGTTTTGCTTGGTATTTGTCAGATTTTAGTTGTAATTCTGAATTTAATATATCTAGTCGTTTTTGCAAACAGTCTTCAGAAATTTTGCAATACCTCGTTTTTTCGAAAATAAGACAAGGTCTTACTTCAAATTTCTTTCGAAAAATAACTCTGGCATTTATCAAGAACAACATTACGAAGTAGAGAATTACGAGATTTTCAAATACACGAAATATTAAAGCCTATATCCATTCCCTTTTTGCTATCGACTAGGTCTTATTTTAAGGTGAGGGCTTATATTAAAATCATTTTCGAAATTCAGTGTAGATCTTTATTTCGGTAAAACACAGCAGTGAGGTAAGGGAGAATTTTTCTGGGGTCAAAGGTCGAGAAAACACCCATTCTTACCCGACTTCATTTGTCCCGGTTCCTTCGTTATTATTTTCGTTCTTTGGAATTTCCATCAAATGTCTTTGGTCTTCTACTACTCTGTTAGATCCATTACAATTATTTCCATCATTACGTGCAAGAGTCGCTTCACGAGGCGATAACTTGGGTGGTTTACGCTTTGAAGAAGAACTTTTCCTATGGCCGGATACAAATATGTGACGCTGGAAATAAAAAGATACAATCGAGTTAAATACTACATTTCGAATTTACTCATAAGGTTGGCTTAAATGATTCTATCTCAAATTCAGAAGTCACACGAAACTCGGCTGCTGTTGGTCACGAAGTTGATTGTTTTCATAAATTATTGTTGTTGGAAGAAAAGGTATTAAAGGCTTATTAGTTGTGTATGTTTCATACAAAGCATATGGAAATCCGAAAGAAATTATATTGTACACCAATTAGACCACTTTCAAATTATCAGCAGTTCGCGATGAAATTAACTTTTGTATCTATGATGTTTTTATTTACCTGGGCTTCGATTATTTGACCCAAAAATGTCGAAGATTTAAAAAATGGGCCATCAAATAGATTTCTACTGATTATTTCCGCAAGTTTATACCCAACGAACTGGTATATTTATTTTCAAGATCAACGGTAAGTCATGCATAGCTCTCTTGCGAAACAGGACTTTCCTACATAGTTCTGACTAATAATGTTTTATTTTTCTATTTTTAAAAACTTGTTTACTCTTTCTCCCGCCTTCATTACGGATCCAAAATGATAAGCTGTCTTCCTTGTCACTCGTCTCCAAGCCAACCTTAGTTTCGATCCAAACTGATCGCTTAGGAAAGTGTATAGAATAGGATTCAACGCACTGTTCACGTATGCAAGAGTTGTGTTCATCTTTGAAATGTGGTTGCAAGTCTGAAATGGAAATTTACATTGGGTGATGGTGTAGGGAATAATTGGTAATTTGAACAAAATTTGGAACAGCAAAGAATTTTTAGATTTAGATGGATCTCAACTGATCAAAAACTTCTTTTAATTCGAAAAAATCAATTATCTAACAGGTTGCTGTAAATATTCACACGTTATTACTAATTAGGCCAAAACATTAATTGTTCCTTCAGCAAAATTACTAACAATGTAACACATCACTGCGAATTGGTTTACGATAGCGTCGAACTTCTATATAAGCCATGCGCTATTGTGGCCGAGGGGCAGTGACGAAGGCAGTGAAGTACATATAAAATATATTATCCTACAATGATATTTTAGTGGTAAGAGCGGTGGGCCTGAACATTTTGTCATTGCGGGTGTAAATATCTCGGTTTGGAGGTGACTTGATGGTGAAGGAAGTCGTAACTAAATGTGTTTAAAATTAAGGGGGTGGTAGATATTTCGCCATTAGCGATAAAACTATTTTCACCGGAAAATATGTGCTATGTATGTGACTAATCATCTGCACTGAAATATAAACTACTTTCTGGATATTCAAATACAATTATAGTTAGGTTAGGAATCAATGTGTGGTGTCAGTGACGTGTCATACCCCTCTCTTCTCTTCTCCCCCCCTCTTTAGAGAAGGTCCAAGGAAACCACTGGTTTATCTATTATACGACAGAGATATATTCCTAATACATTGCACTTTAAACTTTTCAAATCTAGTTCTCACCGACATATGGGCGACCGGAACTCCAGGCACTTTTATTAACTCGAAGATATAATACGGTGTGAAGCAGACGATGTAACTTAATACCAGCATTGCTACCATCAAAGTTACTTTCTTTCTCATGGCGTGGCGTCTTATTCTTCCTCTGGACTCCTGGCTTCTGATCATCCCAGTAGGCTGATACAGTTTCCGAAGTATTGCCATGTAGCAGACAACTGGAAATAAAGAAAGGATTTTTTTAATTGTTTCACAAGTCACGAAACATTCAGATATACTGTATTATACCAAGGTTGTGGGTTCCGCGGGCCCGACCAAAAAGATGGAAAGCCAGATAATAATTTGGACTAGCCAAGCACATCATTCAACTTTGCTAGTTGCCTCAGCTAGCCATAACACTAGTCAATTCAGTGACATTAGTGATGTAACAATGTGTCAAAAGATTTTTCTGATTAATTTTATTACGAAACAACACGAAATGCGATTTTTGGATTACTCTCCGAATGTGACGCGGGTCACAGATAGTGAAGCGGCGGGCCACGTGTGGTCCGGGGGCCTGGGTTTGGTAATATTAAGGCAATATTAACTAAGCTATGAAAATATAACAACGCGGCTTTTTTATTATCTAGATCAGGGGTGTGCGACACATGGGCCACAACCTGGCCCGTCAATCCATTTAGTGTGGACCTTGTCAACACTCGAATTTTCCCGATCACGCATAAAATTCTAAATAGAATTCTGGGTAAAAAAACATAATAATTTTTGCTCTTGTCGATGCTTTAAATCTTTCACCGTTTTGTCCGATGCCTTTATTACTGTAAGACTGAGCGATAACAGCATTCTCTTAATTTTGATTTGCCCAGCCAGCTAGATGTATGAAGTTGGTTATATGGCCCAACGTCAAAAATGTCGCACATTCGTGATCTATATCCTATAGAATAAATGGAATGAATTCAAACTTGACGACCGGTCGGCTTTCTACGGAGGAAGCATTTCATTGCGATAGAAGCTATATCTCCACCCTTATTCTGAACCTGCTGTCTATATGTCAGACCAATATCCATTCAAATTCAATAGCAATCGAGGCCTCATATCCACCCTTATTCCTAACCTAGTGGCAATTTGTCAGCAAAATCGACGACGCGCAAATTTAAGTAAAGTATGGGACACTGTATCCATCTCCAAAATTACATTTCGCATATCAGAAAAATAAGCTATATTTAAGTTTTGTCCAGTCAACAAAAATTCAATCTTGACTGTGTAGATAGATATCATTATTTTCGGCGCTCCAGAAGTGTGTGTACCAATATGAAGGTAACTAATTTTGTTAGGTTACTTTACATGAAGTTGTATAAAGGCACTGAAACCTATGGGCGAGGGGTATGTTCACTAGGCCAAAACAGACAGTCCCCAAACTCGTAATAGAACTAAAAAAAAGAAAATCGGGAAATAATTATGGCCTAACTCAAACCTGGTACACACACTACGGGAGGAACGACTTTTCTACTTACCGATAACACTGCATGGTATCAGATAGCTGTAGAAGAAATTGAGAACAGTCCACACTTGAAATGAATAGGGTTCGTCATGATAACAGGTGTTGATTCGAGCTGTATCTGCAAAAGTGAAATATATATTAATTTCGATGACCACGAAATGGACCTGTTACTGGTGGAAATGGACCTGTTCTACTGTTATGTTGTTGTTGTTCTTGTTGATATTTTACTTCCTGATATTTTTTTCGCTAAAAGGCTATTAGTTTTATTAGTCCTTAAATATTTTTTGAGATAAGATATTTTACGCACTTTCATCTGTTTTAGGTCAGTATGATCTTGTGTATACATCCCGTCTTCTATGTTGATAAATACTAACTCTTTTATATTTCCTTTACGAGACGAATAAACATACATACATATTTAATTATGGGAACACTTTTTATGACATCGTAATGGTTGTCTTATACATTTTATGACATCGTGACGACTGGTACCCATAGACCCGAAATGGACTTGTAGATTGCTTTGCTAAAAACCATTTATTACGTTAAGGAATATGGCAGTAGTCCCCAAACCGTGGCCCAATTACGACTCGCGTAACGATTTAATATGGCCCGCCGAACTCAGTGAATAGTTTAACACTTTATGTTTTTACCTTTTTGCGTCCTCGACAACAATTTAATTATACCGGTATCCGAACTCCTCGCGGCGCTCCGTTCTCCCGACCCGTGAATGTCCCTCCGCTTTTAATTTTTGCCCCCCGGTTTATCTACTTTGAAAACCACTAGAATATAGGCTCGAACTTACCATTTGGGAAAAGACTCAGACAAGCTTCGAACGCTTCTTGTCGTAATTCAGGAGGGGCGCAGAAAATATTGACTTCGAAAGGATTCCATGTTGGTGGTGTTGATGACGGTGCGATGAATTCTGGCGTTGTGTGAAGCTGTGTTGCCGCCCAGATTGCATTCTAAATTGTAGAGAAGTAAGATTAGTATTGTTAGGATTGAGTAACGCCGTGGCTAACTACGGTTGAGTCGGAAATAGCTATTTGAGTGATGTTGATAATGTTGGGTGGTGACAGAAGTCGCAGACGACAAGAAGTTAGATGGATTAAATTGTGGTGGTGAAGAATACGGAAATCCTTTTGAACATTATCACTTTTGACGGACGACGCTAGTGCAAGCATGTTCCGAAGATGATACAATGCGTTGTCAGTATAAATTTGTAAAGAAGCACTCATTTTTAATTAAGAGTCGTAAGCTTTTTCTTGTTGATTTCAATTCGAACAAGTTTCCAAAAGACCAGCTGCCGATGTGTTTAAAACTGATGTTTTTGTACTAAAATGGTAATAACACCCAAAAGTTAATTTTACCCAATTTACGACTTAGCGTTCCCTATACCCAGTTCGGTTAGATGACCGGGCCAAATGTCGGGATCTCCCAATGTAACAGAAATGCATGAATGGAAATACATTTGCATTTAACCCACCTCACGGAATATAAATGGTTCTTTGATGCTCTCTGGCGATGGAACAGTTCCCTCATCAAAATCCGCTAGAGGGGTTTCTCCAAATTCTACAAAATTCAAGTCCATCGGCTCTCGAAGATCAGGCAGCAAAAACTTTTTTGTATTAATAATAGTAGTAGCAACGTTTTGAGCGGTTGTAGACTCCCGGAAATCTAACTTATGTCTTCTGAATCTGTTTCTCCGATTTCTCTTTTTGTTTCGATTTCTTTTATTTTCGCGTTTTCCGTTTTTATTCTTTTGTTTTTTTGATCGTGTTTTGGGTGGCGCTGTTGAGTCAATTTCTCGTTTCACTCGACGTATTGGAACGCTCTGTACGATTGTTGTCGTGTCCGAGATTCCTGTAAAAATAGCAGCATGAAAATATTATGCTATCGATTGGGTTTCAAGGAGACTAACTACTTATCCGTCTTCTATATTTTTGTGCCGGTGGATCCCTGTGTGTATAATGCAAGGATGCTGTAGCAAGAGTAACGATAACTATCTTAAGGGATATAAGAGTCTTGCTGCACACCAACACAAATATATTTTACTGTAACGTTTCGTCTGAACAAAGTCAGACTTTCTCAGACATACATTTTTATCAAACTGCAACGAGAAGAAAAATTGCATGCACATTTATACAATGGGTGTCATAGTAACATAACAATATCATACCAATGGGAGTTACGCATGTTAGAGAATCAATAAATTCGGTGATTGCGTAACCAATTAACAGCACAAATATTAAAAACATACGAATTAACTCAACCAGTGTATTAAATATTTCATAATGCCTTTAACCGGCCCGCGGGCCAAATGCGGCCCACAAGGAAACTCTGTGCGACCCGCGGAGAAGTGCTAATTTTGAATGATGTGCGACCTGCGTAAGGAGTTTTTAATTTATTTAATCTGGTATGTGTGAGTAATTCCGATCCCTTTGCGTTGAAAAGCCTATATCTTGAGTTCAATTCATTATCTATGCCCAGGACGTAGCATTGCTTCAACGGCAAGCCTTCGGGAGGCGAACAACGCATGTCATAAGATCTATAACCAAACTTTTTGTACTTGTAACTACTAGAAAGCCTAAATTGAATAAATGTGCGGTCCGCGTTTCACCCATTTATTTGTATTCGGCCCGTCTGTATTAAAGGTTGCACCCCCCTGCTTTAAACTTCTTTAATGGTCATTCCTTGTGGTTCATGCGTAGGTGAATGAAATACGATTCTGTTTTTTTTCGGTAGATATGGCTTTATATCGTATTTATTGGATCACCGCTATGAAATCGGTGGAGATTTGTGACCGACCCGACAGCATGTGGAAAGAATACATATTCACCAATTGCGACTCTGATCACAACATCAACATAAGCCACCCCAACTCCAAATTTTTAGCCTAGATACGGGTCTTTGAGTCAGCTCGAGTTTAATTAAACGAAGATTTGCAAATCAAACACTCTCACCTATTTCTGTAAATTTCAAAGCTTTCTTCATTGTATAATTGTGTATGCATTCTTGATGGAGATTTTGCTGAAGAAAGATGTTGTTGACTTCTGTAAAATGAAATACAATATAGGATAATTCGATGGTTTCCTCAGAAAGTTTTGAAACAAGTTTGAAAATGTGACAGTATACAGAGATTTAACTATAAATCCTTTCGAGGGAGGTTAGATTGGTATACAGACTTTTAGTCCACGGACGTTTCGTACCAGGCATTTTGACACATGGACGTTTTGTACCAGACAATTTGACCAATCGACGTTTTTAACCAGACATTTCGACCCACGGACGTTTCGGACCAGACATTTCGACCCACGGGCGTCTTGATCAGACATTCCGACCCACGAACGTCTCGATCCAGTTTAGATTTTAGACATTTCTAATCACGGAGGTTTCGGACCAGACATTTCGACCCACTGACGTTTCATACCAGACATTTCGACCCACGGACGTTTCGGACCAGACATTTCGACCCACTGGCGTCTTGATCAGACATTCCGACCCACGAACGTCTCGATCCAGTTTAGATTTTAGACATTTCTAATCACGGAGGTTTCGGACCAGACATTACGACCCACGGACGTTTCGGACCTGAAATAACCTAAAAAGACTCGAATAAGGAGATGAGTTCATCAACAAGGGGCAAGGAATGGTTGAGACCTGTCATAAAACGCACCAAAGTATATATCATAGAATTTCGGCGGCTGGCTATAGTCAGCAATCTGGTATAACATAGCAGGCTATACATAAGCTCCTGGTTAGGATTCTGATTTATTGTCACGTCATAATGCCCTCTTCTCACGTATACAAAGTCACAAATGAGGTCATTGCTATATTTATTCTACTAGTTGGTATATCAATTCGGCGCTCCAGAAGTACATGTACCAATATGGAGGTAACTAATTTTGTTCGTTTATCTTACATCAAGTTGTGTATAGGGACTGAAACCCATGGGCAGGGGGTATATTTGCTTGGCTATCACAGACAGTCCCCGAACTCATAATAGAACTAAAATAAGGAAGATCGGAATAAAATTATGGCCTAACTCTAACCTGGTACACACACAACGGGAGTACCATCAACTCAATCAGAATCACCATTACATAAAAGTAAAGTCATTTTTACGTTATTTGTTTACATTTATTTAGTGGCGTATCTCGTAAAATGGCGTCCACGGCAAAGTTAAAAATTTGGATTTTGGTTGGCAATTTTTAACAACTGTTGTTGAACTGACGATAAAGTACGATAAAGTAAAAATACAAGATTCAATAATTTGTAATTTTAAATTTTTAATTGAACTCTTTAAAATTTGCGCCAATTTCCACACGCGCCCATTACGCAAGTCATGGCTGCCATGCCCTAGGTATGTACTGTGGTGTATTTATTAATATTAATGAACAGAAGCCGTCATAAAAAGTTGTTTAGTGAAATAATTCTTTCTCTATTTATTTATCGATATAACCGTAAAGCCAAAAGTAATAAGCTAGACCACGAACTCGCATAAATATTTGACTATCCCAGATGGGTCCATTACATTTGAACCCACGTACATTTGAACCCATGACAATTGCACCTGCATACTATCGCACTTATGAATTTTTTTTTTGTTTTACGGATATTTGAACCCATACTCACCCTAATCCATGGGTTTTAGCACCCGCATATAGATTGAACCCGCGGATATACGCATGGGTTCAAATGCACGGTCACCATCTCAGATATTATCGCGTTTTTTGTTGCTGAAAGCCTGTTCCAGTAAATGCCGAGAAATATTCATTGCAAAATGTGCATGGAAGATATAAGCAAGACCTGACGAATCTTTAACCCAGCATTTGAAACTCACACTCAATTTCATTTTCTAAGCATTAAATTACGACAAGCAGCAGTGGCATAGTCAGGGGGACCCCCTCCCGTTGGAAATATCTGGCTACGTCCCTGACGACTCAATTCTCAACATTGATTTTGTGACCATGAATGGTCATAATGCAACATAACAGATTGCAACATTGAAGAATTGCAATACCCTCTGTTGCGCAGTATATTAAATCAAGCCAGTATTTTTCTATCCACGTTTTCATATTTTACTTACACTGGAAAACTGGAAACGACTGCCATATACACAGCACACTTGAGGCCGGGTGTATATTTTTTTGGAAATTTGCTGAAGGGGAAACAACGAATAAAAGTTGAAAATTACTGGCCTAGAATTTAAAGAGGAGTGCAACATTTTTTGTCAGTGGGCCATATAACCAACTTCAGACATCTAGTTTGGCCACACAAAAAAATTAAATACCTGGTAATTCGAAATTTCAGACCAACGCATTGACCAACCATTGTTTTGAAAAACACAAACAATATTGACAACTTCAAAATCTCGTAGGCCACAGAATGTGTCCCGTAACATCTTATACTAAAATTTCATATCAGGATAAGATATTGTAAAGTCTGCAAATCGATTTTTGATGCTCATTAGACGTTGCGGCATTCCCGCAAAATTCTCTTTTTACTTATATGCTGCAGATTCAACGATTTCGCGGCGAGAACCATTGCATGGTGTCAAAGCGTATAAATAATTCAACGCGATATTATCTCTATCTGCGGTCAAGTTTATATAGAAAGGGATTTTCGATTTTTTTTCGTCGCGGGAAGAAGAATTAGATATTCCCGCTTGATATAAATATTGTAAAGGGATTTTAAACATTTGGAAACCATACACTGTTAGAAATATAGTAAATTATATGTAATCGACCTGTATGATAAGATTTACATATTTATACCCGGAAAGAGGAAAGATGATTAGATTAGATCATATGGCGAACCATGGCCTCTTGTCCGATTACCAGTCCATGTCGGGTATGGGATTAGTTAGTCATTTGTTTCAGAAGCATGAACTTGATGGTGGAAAAAGCCGTAACCGACTAGTTGTTACGTGAACCACCCTACGGCAGCAAGAAGTCCAGCAATCCTTACACATTAATTTATCCCACACGGAATCCGAACCCACGCGAGGTATAATCAATGATGCGATGGCAAGAGTATACATCAGGGTGGTCCAAACCCAGGCCCGCGGGCCACATGTGGCCCGCCGCTCCAATATCTGTGACCCGCGTCGCATTTGCGGGAGAGTAGACAAAAAATCCCATTTGGTTTAGTTTCAGCATAAAAATAACCAGAAAATGCCACAATGCTTGTTTGATATGCCTGCAAGTTGTGTTGGTGACAATCTAAAACCGCATTTTCTCCCTGTGACACTTTCTCCGTTATAAAGAGTTTGAGATCTTACACTAAATGTAGATATAGTAAGATTTTTGCAGGTTTTAGTGAGTTTTGTAGTGGATTTTGCATGTTTTAGAGTAATGAATGACAAATAATGATCAAGTAGACAATGAAAATGTTTGTTTTATATTGCACTGTTTACCTACTATTAGCACTTTTGTGGCTCGCAAACAATACAAAAATAATAGTGTGGCCCGCGAGGCCGACAACCTTGGACCACCCTGGACACTAACGCTTGGCCCGATGCGCCCCGCCATCGAGCGTGTGATTTGGAAAAGTGTGATAAAATTGCCGTTTTATTCCGTCATTACCTACCATTAATTGTTTGATCCGTTCTCTTGTTGCGTATACTCGAATGTACTATAATCTAGTAGTTCTCAAAGTTGATTGACCTGGAGGGCTAAAATAAAAAGCGGAAGGATATTCGCGAGGCAGAGTAGTGGAGCGCCCTTAAGCTGCCGATACCGGTATGTATAATTGATATACCGGTATAGTCAAATTGTTACGAATATTCACGTGCTTAAACTGTGATAATGACGTAACAGTTGGCATAATATAGAACGCAAAAATGTTTTCACTCAAGTTCGGCGGCTATATTAAATCGTTACGCGGGCCGTAACTGGCCCGCGGTTTAGAAGCCACTGCTCTAATCCATACATCTGAAAACAAATTTTTGGTTAACTCATCCGATCCCATGGACTGATAACCGGACGGAAGGTCGTGGTCCGCCTTATGATTAGGCTATCTTATTGTCTTTCCTACCAAGATAAAATAAAAATTCCATACTATATATAACTCTTTCTCAGTAATGGAAAATCCCGTTTTGCATTTGTAAGTATAGTTCACAAAGAACTTCTTATCTTCCGCTATTTTGTTTCACTTCTCGACCACTAGATTATTAAATCTATATTGACCGTGTTATCCAATTATACAAATTACGCGAAATTTGTAAAAAACTTCTTGAAATGTAAAAAAGAAAAAAATTCTGTATCATACATAACAATTTTAACTGGGTGAATAATTCCATATCCGACATGGGTTGGTGGCCGAAATGCAGATCCGGCCGATCCCACTTTGTATTATAAGTATAGACACCATAAAGAACCAATGTATTTATCAGAAACGTATAACTGGCTAACTAATCCTATACACGACATTGACTTGTAACCGGACGAGAGGCTGTGGTTCTCCATATGATTATGCCGTCTTATTGACTTGCCAAAATGAAGATCTTGGTTTGCCAAGTGATTTTGGCTATATTTTTTGTCGAAATCCCCGAAATCAAAATCCCGCTCTGTAATATAAGTATAGAGACCACAAAGAACGTCTTACATTACGCAGATTTGTTTTATTTCTCGTCCGCTGGATCATTAAATCTATATCGAGGGTGTTATCCAATTATACAAATCCTATTTAATATTCATTCATTTAAAATCTATGTTGCGGTCGATTTATTCCGAGAAAAAAAAATTGAATTACGCGAACTTTTGTAAATGTGGTAAAGTTAATTCGAATTTTGAGGTTTAAAAAAGGTCCAAAAACATAGCTTTTATTTGTTTTTTGAAGATTTCTGAAGTTGTATTATTCAATTTAACAAAACACAGATTGGAAAAGTGTACAGTCTGTACGAGGAAACCAGGTTAGGATTAGGCCATAATTTTATTCCGATTTTCTATATTTTAGTTCTATTACGAGTTTGGGGACTGTTTGTGTTAGCCAATTTAATATACCACTTGCCCATAGGTTTCAGTCCTTTTACATAACTTGATGTAAAGTAGGCGAACAAAATTAGTTACCTCAATATTGTTACACACACTTTTGGAGCGTCGCGCATTCAAATGAGAACCATAATCTGGCCGTTTTTCCTACTCCTCAACCCAATTTGGGTTACCTCAATCAAAATCTAGTTAACTTAATTTATTTAGCCAAGTAAACTTCTTTGATGAAATTGACAAATTTTGAATTGCATGCTAATTTCAGTTAATTTTACTGGAATTTTGTAGCATGATGTAAAATGTTTTGACAATTAGATTGAATGATACAGGAGCAAAATTAAATTTCACACATTTGGAATAAAAAGAGGTGGTTTATTCGAATTTTGGTGTTGCTTCGAGTTCAAAAGCCCGGTTTTATTTTCCCTTTTTACCTAGGTCCTAGATAGTTTAAATCAGGGGTGGGCAAACCATGGCTCGCGGGCCCGATCCAGCCCACCAAATTGTTTCATCTCACCCACTTGTGTCTGTTGAAATTACGACTATAATTTTTAGGATGCGGAATTCCCGTTGAAAATATCGATGAAAATAACGTTAAATTGTTTTCTATTCATAGTTTTTTATGTTAAGTTTTGAGCTTCCGGCCCAGTAACCAAGTTTATTATATGTGACTGGCCCACTCAGAAATATAATTGCCTACCCCCGGTTTTAAACTGTGTTACTTGACTTAACATAACGTGAACTGGCATGGTATAAAGCCCTTTCTCAGCAAAAAATAAATATTATGTTACATTTTATGATGAATGGCAATTCAAATTAGACCAGTGGTTCCCAAACTTTAGGTAATTAGCCTAAAAAGGGTAATTTGACATTTTGGGGGTAATCCATACGTTAACTGTGTTAAAATTATGTTATGAAATCACAGTTCTTTTTGCTGGTCTGCGGAAAAGCTAGCATTTGCATCCAGTATATGAGTATTGTTACGTACGCCTAATGTAGTCGGTCACGCAGTTATCAGAGACATATTACCAAAGCTTCATTTTCGATTCAATTTCATTCATCTTATTACTGAGATTATAATTTTATGAAAGGGTTAATTGAGTTTTGATAATTCGATTTAGGGGTAACGATATTAAAAAGGGAACCACTAAATTAGACCATATCTATGTAACTTTTACCTGGCTGTTTGGGGCATTTAGGTTATTTAATTAGACAAGTTAAGCTTTTTATTAAATCGAAGAAAGTCTTGTGTTATACGAAAATTTAAGTTAATCATGCTGAAATTTTCTTAGCGTTATCTAAAATGCTAGGGAAATTAAGTTGGATGACACATGCCGTCGAGGAAATCGAAAAATTTTGTATTACATGTAAATTTCAGTTATTTTTGCGGAATTTTCTAACATTATGTAAAACGTTTGAACTATTAAATTGAATGGTACAGGAACATGTTCGTTGTGAAACTAATCCCATAAAATCTTTGTTGTTCGATAAATCTTTACGTCTTAACCGCATTTTGTATCTGTTTGTTTGATGTGGGGAATAAAAAATAAATTTGAGTTTACCTCTGTAAAAATTGCTTCTGATATAAAACAAATATTTTGGTCTTGTTTCAATCCCCTTTTTTGAATGATCAAAAACGCCCAACTATTCAAAAAAATAAAAAAATTCTTTGCGCGAAAAGAAATAAGTTCTGGATTAGAATTTATTCAAGATTGTAGACACGTTTTCAAACGGCAAGGCGCGCGTGAAGCTGATTAAAAATGATAATAATTGTTAAATTTGATCTTGCCCGCCTTATTACTTATCGTTCTTAAGATCGGTAAGTATGTTGATAGGTATTTGTTTGTTTGTCTGTTAGATGCACGCGATATCTCACGAAAGCGAGGTTCAATCTGCTCCAAATTTTGCATGTGCATTCATCATAGCTCGGATCAGAAGCCTATTGATTTTGGATGATTTATGTCGTATAATTAGCGACTTATTGATTAATTAGTGATGGGACACACAGAGTCACTATGGAGTAAGACCACTGTTTTGGGGGATCTCCTAACCCTCGATCGATAAGTCTTCGGTTTCGAACCGAATTCTAGTTTTGAAAGTTAACATTTTAAAACTTTTCATTTATTTCATTATTTGTGTTTCATCCACATATTTTCAACGTGTTTTTTGATTAAACATACTTTCACTTTACTTTCACCATTTGTAGCTTATTGTAGCTAGTTATTTTTGAGGTGGGCGCAAGATTTGACAAATTCTAAAAAGGGGGGCGTGGCTTAAGAAGTTTGAGAACTACTGGGTTAGAATAAGTTTAGAAAGTAGTACTGAAGCCAAAATCATTGTTTGCCGCATAAGGTTTCTCGCGAGGGACTTCAATCCAGCTGAAATCTCATTTCTTCGTATATAGCTACAAAAAAAATCGATGTCTAAAGAAATGTATTAGCCTTCTAATAAAACCACGGGCCGCGGGCCACGGGCCGCGGGTTGGGGACCGCTGTTTTAATCAAAATATTTTACTGAAAGTGACTATATAATATATCATATTAAGTATATGATATAGTAAATTAAGTACGTTTCACAATGTCTGTGCGAAAAGATTTTCTAAATGCAACCCTCAAAAAAACTTTGCCCTTTCGTGATAGGACCATGGGAATATCACGATAAATAAATAGTAATTACATAAAAAATCTACAAAACAAACTTGTTATTCAGTTGAACTGAACAAAACACCTTATGCTCCATGTAATTAATTTATGCGGTTCAACCCTACGTCAGATCGTATCAATTTAAGACTTTGATGACCGTGAAAATTAAGTTTATAGTTTGAGGGTGGCAAGACAAAGGGACGAAATGATGAAATTTCCAAAATTCAATATTTTGAAAATATTACAGATAAATCTCGCGCTATTTGGTGATAACAAACGCGCAATACAACACTATAATTCTTTGTCGTGCAGTGATTCTCAACCTCTTATGACCCCCTTCCAGAGGCATTTGGGCACTCATGGCCCCCCGTTGGTCATTACAGTGGTATTTATAGTGTTATTTTTTATTTGTAGATTTCAAATCCTATTATGTTCAAACAATTCATGCACAGATAAGTGAAACCCCCCATGCATGTGATATAACCGTATCAAGCAATAAAACTGAGAAAAACTGGGAGTTTTTTCCTGCGAAGGGAAAATTTAAATCAGTTTTGCACTCAACACTCTCCCCCCTACCACACTAGTTGCTCTGTGCCCCCTTGAATAGCCACGGATCCCCAGTTAGGAACCGGTGTTATAGTGACAGTAGCTCTTGACATATTAGTGGTCGCCGTTGCTTTGCTAAGAACTATTCTTTTTTCCATATGAGTTCTCGTCATATAGGCGTAGCCATGATTTTCAAAGGATTTGGTGGCGGAGGTTTCTGAAATTTCTATTGATTGAAGTTCGTCATTTTCCTAGAACATATTTCCAAGTATTTTCTTTTAAGGTTAAAGCCTTCGATTTGACATTGAATAGAAAAGGCTATTTATTTCCGATGGAACTTAATTAGCGTTATGGATTGCAAGGTAATTTGACGAAATATACCGCGATAAAATGGCTGGAATTTCACGGGTGTCTCGCACTTACAGTTGTCCGGGGGGTCTCGGTATCTATTGGATCAATCAATTTTTAATTCTTAGTGCTTACAGGTGGTAGACTTCAGGAGGCTGTCATTTTTATTTTTATTTTTCATTTTATATTCCTCATATGAAACGTTATCGCTACAAACGGGGCCCTGCACAAGCAGTCACTGCTGATAATCTTTATTTTATGCAGAATTTAATTTTTTTATTTGTGTTTTGAACATTCAAGTAGGAAATACCGATTCAAGGATACTTGGAGTTGTTCATAAAAATTACGATAAGAAAACTAGCATCGAGGATGTGATTTCCACATAACTATATATTTTTGAATATTTGATGATTTTAGAATTGAATCGTTTTTTTTTCTTCGATTCTAATCTCAAATATTTTGAAAATATGTAATTGTATGTGATTTTTTTTTATTGTGTGTAACATCCAGATACCTAATATACTAGAATCCATCACTCAGGCAATTCGCTGAACGTTCACACACAATAGGAAACATGTAACATCAATAACTCCCATGGAAAAGTCATATGTCAAAATTGCGTTGTAAAAATATGGCTTCTATAAAAAAATGAGGAATTTATCCCGGTTTTCGGTGGACAAAAAATAACAAGATGGCGGCGATTTGAAATTTTTGCCTGAACCTATTCTAATAATTTACTATTTGATTCGAAATGCTCAGCCCTACACACAACTGAAGTTCTGTTTGATAGGTAAATTGACAGTAAAAAATTGAGAGCTTTGGAATTAGAACTCCCAAAATCTGCTGTACATTCACCAGACGGGAATCAATGAGCTCGGAAATAAATAGATCCAGTTTCGTGTTCTGCTAGATAATTTGTCAGTTTTTAGAGTTTGCAAAGCATAGGTATGGATGAAATAATTCAATGGTCATTTCATCTTCCGGCGAGTTTCAGTTCAGTTGCGTAAGGAGTACGCTAGCCACCGCATCTCTGATTATTACTCTGCGTGTGTTTGCAGGTTTAAATCTCATGTGGGGATGATTATGTGTGAGAAGATGGCTGGACTGCTCGTCGCCGTATGGTGGTTCACGGAATCGTTTGTCGGTTACGGCTTCCCCCACCATCAAATCCATACCTGGCTAACTAAGCCCACACCCGGCATGAATTGGTTCGTATCCTCAGGATAAATCCCATCCTGGATTTACAGGTACATCCTAAAGGAATAAACAAACAAACAATTCTCACCGATTTTCTGTCCAGGAAATCTTGGTTTGCATTTCTTGATGAGTCCTCCATCAGTTGAATGTAAATAGGCGAGAGGAATCACAGCCGCCAATGCAACCAACCTTGATAAAAAAGGAGAATTTGTTAATCAACCACAAAAAAGATGGAAAGTGCACACTGCTAACCGTTGGGAACACGCTTTTTATGAAGTGCTCTTACACCTTTGAACAAATCAACGATATTTAAAAAAAGCTATAAGCGTAGCATCCAGGTACATTTGCATTCATTGGTTTTTAAACTCATCAACATTAGCATTCATGGAATTTTGGACCCATGGTCATTTCCGTGGGTGCAAATGTCAGTGGGGGCAAATGTACAAGGGAGCAAATGTACGTTGGTGCAAATGTTTGTGGGTGCAAATGTACATGGGTGGTAATCAATGTTCCTTATAATTTTTTTGTAGTATGTGTGCGCAGTAATTTTGGTGTGTGCACACTTTTTTGGAAATGACTAATATTTGTGCAAAAACCAATGAAAAAAATTGGCGTTTTAACCGGGTAATGGGTGGGCCAACAACAAACTTTCTCAACCTTCCAACCGAGAACATTGTTACATTACATCGAAATACGTCTGTGCGCAGTAAATCTATGCGTGTGCGCAGCCTCTGATAGCTGTGTGTGCGCGCACACCTTAGAGGGAACACTGGTGGTAATGTCCTGGGTGTAGTTTACGGGTGCAAATGTGCTGTCACCGGCACGTATAGAAAAATATTTATCAATTATTTGGACACGATGGCGATAGAAACCCCAACCTATACGTTATGCTAGCTATTCCGGGACGGCGACGTATCTTAAAGCTTTCAGTCTTGTATTCACAGGCCCTGATCTGAAGGGTGTGTCTGCTTATAAGTCTAATACGGCAAAATTTTAAAATTCTCGTTAATTCGATGAACATAAAAGGAATATTGACAAGTGCCGGTAGACCATGAAATGCTGTTAGTCTCTTGTGACTGCTTGCTTTGATCACACAATTGGATTGACCTTTCGATTGTGATACAATAGTAATCTCATTGATAGCATTATTACGTAACACGCTTTTAAGACGGACGAGCGACAATCCAATTAATTTGACTTAGCGTAAAACAAACGTGCTCCACAAAACTTAATCCGACTGTCTACCCACTGCGAAACGTGCCACAGGACAAGTTTGTGTCTTTTTACGCCATGCGTAACCAATTAAAACAATTAACTCAGTGGCGTATCTACGTAAAATGGCGCATGTGGAAAAGTTTAGGAAAGCGCCCCCCTGATCGACATTTGACTATTTTAACGGCTATTGTGGAATTGAGATACTTGTACTAAAATATTCAAATAAACACAAGTTTCAATCAGTTCAATTTTGAATCAATATTTGAAACATTTTAAGATTAAAAGTTGTTGCTTTTTTGCGCCCATGCCCAAACCACGAGTCATGTCTGCCATACCATAGATACGTCACGGATAACCCTCGATCGAAACAGCCAATAACAGAAAAACAAGTGAGAAGACAACACATTGAGAATACTATCACACACAAATATATATAACACTTCGTAGTCCACAGAGTATGTGAACACAGACTACCAGAGGCCCGCCAGATCAAAGGCCCTCAATACATTTCGCAATGACAAAATTAATTTGAAATTTGAGAATTCTAATACCGTAAAATTGATAAATGATAATTAACGCGATGCACGTAAAAGACAAGTTCCGGTAGGTCGTGGAACAGGGGTGGTAAATTAATTTTTTGAGTGGGTCTGTTGCAGACAATAGACTTGTGCAGAAGGCACAATACTCAACATGAAAAACTATGAATAAAAATTTATAAAAGTTTAATTCCATCAGCTAGGTCAGGGTGGTCAAAACCCAGGCCCGCGGGCCACATGTGGCCCGCCGCTTCATTATCTGTGGCCCGCGTCACATTCTGAGAGTAATCAAAAAATCGCATTTCGTGTTGTTTCGTCATAAAATTAATCAGAAAATTTTTTTGACATATTGTCATCACTAATGTCACTGAATTAAATAGAGGCAACTAGCGAAATTGAAATTTGAATGATGTGAGTGGCAATCTGAATTTTTATCTGGCTATCTAACTTTTTGGTCGGGAATATATGCTAACAATATAGGAATCAGAGAAAAATAAAAATTGAATGCGGATTCTATTAGCCTAGAATGGCTATGCCTTATAACTATGTTTGCAGAATAAAAATGTTTGTTTTGTATGGCACTGTTTCCCTTTTCTTGGCACTATTGTTGCCCGCGAACAATGCAAAAATAATTTTGTGGCCCGCGGAGCCGACAACCTTGGACCACCCTGAGCTAGGTTAACGTTTAATAATAACAAGCACAATGTAACAATCAGGGTTATTATGACGTTTTTTTCACCAGAAATTTATATTCATTAAACTATAGGCGTAATTTTAGCAGACGCAAGTGGGCCGGATGGAACAATTCGGTGAAGCGCGGACAGTAATTCGCTCACCCCTGCCATGGAATATTGTCAGTCGTTTGTGACTGCTTACTATGATCACACAATCGACAATCTGCACAATAATAATTTCAAATGCCAATCGATTTTTTATGTCACAGGTTGCAAGTCTATATTCAATTTCAGGTTGCTCTTTTTTGTATGCTTGTCCGCATTCTGCGAAGGAGTTCCCATCCATTAATTTTTGGACAAATTTTTACGAAAAAAATCTGCAATCTGCACAAATATAAATTCAAATGCTCGGGATTCTTTATGGTACAGGTTGCAAGTCTATATTCAACTTCATGTCGCTACTTTTCAATGCTTGCTAAAATTCTGCAAAGGAATTTCCATCGACGAATTTTTGGAAATTAAGAAAAAAAAAAATACAGTCCGTTCCGATTACGACGATAAACACGTTCGGTTTCGTGTTAATGATTAAATGTCAATTCATTTCTCGTCCCAGACTCGTTTATCGATTATGCGATTATAGGGATAGACGGAAACCACACGTCTCCTAAATGATTTATAAGATTCGCCACCTGATTTTGAAGAAGTAGTTTCTGAGAGATCAAGAGATTTCGCGTTTCAGTCTTATTTATTTGTGATTTCACAGGTTTGCTCAAAAACACAGAACCCAAAAACAAAATCCAGCGGTTCCCAAACTGTGGGTCGCAAGAGGAATCTCAGTGGGTCGTGAAAAGATGTAGAAAGCTTTGTTTAATTATACTGGTTATTAGGATTGTTGGCGACTCAAATACGTAAATCTTCAAAAAACGAAATAAATTAGGTTAAATTTAAATGCTAATCTGTGAAAGTTTCCTTTTTACGATCTTCTCAAAGGAACAAAAATTTGTTACACAAAGAAAGACCATGTAGCTTTTTTACGCATAGCAGTTTTGTACACTCTACTCTACACCACTTCTTACCGTGTTTCCCCAAAATTTAGACAGGATTTAGATTTATTTTCTTTTGAAGAATAACACTATAGTTTTTTTTGGAAGGCCTTTCGTGTTCCTTTATCAAAAATAAAATACCAATGTAGAAAATCACGAGATGGGTCGCCATAAGCTGTGGTAATGAATAGTAAGTCCCAACTCTGAAAAGTTTGGAAACCACTGCTTTAGAGCAGGGCTACTCAACTATTTTTATCGAAGGTCCGCAAACAAAACTTCAAAATTATTTGGGTCCGGTCTTTCCAGAAATGATATTTCGGCATCCTTTAACGAGCACTTCCTCGACCGACTAATGATTAGTATCAAATTAAAATTGTTTATTATGGTGTTATAGTTCTTTTCGTAAATATTCAAAACTATGAAAGTCATTTTATAATAGGAAACTTTAAAAAGTGGGGCTAATGATCCAAAATAAATAATTGGGTGCGATCCAAATCCAATACTCGAAAGGTCCGGATTCGGACCGCGGTCCGCCAGTTGAGTAGCCCTGCTCTAGAGGAGTGATTGTTGATTCTTATTGTGAGTGAACACTCAGTGAGCTGTCTGAGTGATAGATTCTATGTTTTTTTGTAATCTATGTGTCTGGTGGAACCATTACAATAATAAAATCACATACAGTTACATATCTTCCAAGTATTCGAGATTCGATTCGAAAAAAAAATTCGATTCGATTCTGAAATCATCAGGTATTCTAAAACGCCCAGAACAAGCGACGCCCAGCGATTAAAACGCTAGACTTGACTGTGATGGTCAAATCTTGCGTACATTCTGATTCGGATCTGAAGGCGTGCATAAGCGTCGCTTAGAAGCAAAAATATTCGAAACGTCGGCAAAACCTGGATCTTTTGTACAAAGCTCTCGCCGCTAATGCAAAAATAAGAAATTTGAGAAAAATATCCCAGCTACGTTCCAACAAACAAATGAGTAATTATCCACTCAGTGTTCGGCTACGGAATGATATGAATTTTTGGCGAAATCTGATTCCCACCCCTCACCCTTACTTAATTAATTACTAACGGTGACGGTGGTGTTATTTTTCGGCGGGGCTTCCTCAAAAGATCCGCGAAATTTACTAGTTGATCCGTACCAGTCGTGGTATACAGCAACTGCTGTAACTCAATCGTATCTACTCATTTTCAAACAGGCTAATTTCCGTCTTCGATTTTATGTTATTAGTGACCTGAAATCACTTTTATCCTTGCCAAAGATGGTCCATACATACGTATAACTCCCAAACTCTATCCCATACTTGAGCTACCCATAACCAAAAGTGAATATTCCCGCCGAAACCGCATCCATTAGCCCGACAATTACACAGAATAAACCGAATAATTTTGTTCCCTTGGGTCATAACGAGTCATACGGATTGAATTGTATGCTGATTCCCAACCAATAGTAAACTTGGGTAAATACCGCGAACCACGCCTGTTTTCCGACCGCCTGTTTAGGTCGGGTACAAATAAGTTAACTAGTTAATTGTTTTATATTTACTGACTTATCCTGTTTTGGTTTGGTTTATAGCCATGTTGGAATGCTGAGGGACCAGGTTGGACTTGACACGGAAGTAGCTTACAACAATTAACCGACGGTATGGTAAGATGACTAGGATCTCCTCAATATTCAAGGAAGAAAGGACACGTTTTGCTGGGCATTGTATGGAACGGCCAAAGTAGAAAGACCTGTCAAGACGAAGTTACTAACAGAAGACATTGATTCAGATCTTGCAGTTCTTCCTAACGTACTCCCGAAGTATGTGAACCAAGATGGCGGACACCGGAACGTTGCATGTGTACTAGGTTAGGGATAAGCCATAATTTCAGGTACATATACTACGGGAGACACTTGGCTAGTCTCCGAACTCGCAATAGAACTAAAATAAGAAAAATTGGAAAATTTGTTTTGCCTAACCCTAACCTGGTACACATACTACGTTCCGGTGTCCGCCATCTTGGTTCGCATACTCCGGGAGTACCCAAACAACAGCCGCCTGACTAAAATTCGAAAGTGTTACATGTATTACATTTTTTATAACAATAATAAGAAAAATACCAACAACATAATAACAAAACGATCCATGTGTAAAATTCGTGTGCAATAACTTCAAAAAAAAAAACTCCACTCACCAAACCACTACGCTCACAAGGCGTGAGGATTTCAAATTTCGAAGTTTTGTCGAAGACACTGCTTTGTTAACGGCAAGATATCGATCGATGCTCATCACCATTAAGAAAAGAGGACTGACCTGGAGAAAATAGAAGATTAGACAGCTGTTATGGAATAACTTTTGCCCGAAGCCCCGAAGATCTAGATCGCGTTTCAAGCTACGCAAAAATATTTTTTTTTTACATTTCAAAAGGGGGGTTCCGGGGTTGGGTCCCTTGGGTACGCCCCCGCTCAGAACGAAAAAGTATAATTGCGTCGTATGAAAAAGCATGCGCAACTGGAAGGAAGTAAACGATATAGACTTTATATTAACAAGAGAATACCATCCCTCGTGTGCCCAAAGCGAAAGCTGAAGAAAATTGTATTAAGAGGAATCAAATTCTGCTCTTTTGTTGTTGGAATTCTTGCTTGTATCAGGAGTCAAAACCGAAAAAAATACAATTCAGTCCAATTAGACATTCAGATAATATAAACGGACGCTGTATCTTAGCCACACACACGCACAGGAATAGCAAAACCATGTCTGCACGCCTTCTTAAACTTCTGAAATCTTACGTCTAATAATATATATTTAGCCTCATTCATCAAAACATTGAAACTCTCTTGGGACAAGCCAATCTGCTTGTAAAGGGAGAATCGTGCAAGGGACAAGCGAGATTACAAGTGATAAGCCCGACCGAACAAAATATTTAAATTACATATATATACACGCATATATATATAAACCAAAGGGTTTAAAAGTTTCCTCGATGTTTAAATTCTAAGTTTAAAAAATGGCATTTATCTTGGTAATTTTAATGTGACCCCCTCTATCGCCTGAAGTACCTTGAAATCAGGGGCCTGTCAAACTTTTCTGCAGCTCTGGAATTTGTCACTGTTCGCGGAACAATTTAGATAGTTCTCAGAAAGAAGGCCCAGGGTTTTTACTCGGTGTCAGCGTCATCCCTGGCCACACAATATAAAGATATCGAATGCATAAACGTTAGAGAAGGCCAGCTCTGTTTTCTTCTCATTGGATACATATAAATAATATCTCGTTTGTGTTTGCCTGCTTTAACCAGTAGTTTCCGGATTGTTAATACTAAATATGCTAAATGCATTTGGCTGGTTTTGTAAATTGACGAATCAGAAAAGACTGGTACAATTTCATTAACCTAATACTGGCTTCCCTGACTACGATTTGACATACGACCAACAAAAGCAGCCACAAAACATACCGAACTTCGACTTTACGGACCAAGTCACGAGAAACAGTACTCTCATAGATCATGTGTACCAGGTTAAGGTTAGGCCATCATTTTATTCCGATTTTCCTTATCTGAGTTCGGGGACTGTCTGTGTTAGCTAAGTGAATATCCCCCTGCCCATAGGTTTCAGTCCCTTTACACAACTTGATGTAAAGAAGGCGAACAAAATTAGTTACTTCCATATTGGTACACATACTTCTGGAGCGCCCGAGAAACAGGGTGTTAAAACAATACTGTATATAAGTAGAATAAAATTAGTTACTATAAACTTACAAAAAAATTCAAATATGTCATGAATCCGACAGCAAACTTGCACATGAACTCTCCTGACCTCCATGCGATGTGAATTTTCTGGTCGATGACAAAAGGAACTGTTGCTAGAAAACAGAAATCTGCGATGGCTAAGTTCAATACGTATGTCACTGATGACGTATCCTGAAACAAGATTGAAAGAGGTATAAAACACGATAGAACAACTTCTATTGTCAAACGAGTGTAATATCTTATTTTAAGACTTTTTGCACACAAAGTGGTATTGTTGTTAAAATTCTTTTTCTTGCTGTTTTAAAAAAATTGCTTTTTTTCATTGACTACTGGACCAACTGCTTTGAAATTTTCTTTTTTACTTTTTTTTTTATTTATTTTTAAAAATTTCTGTGGGCTTCGTTTTTGTGTGTGCGTGTTATGACGTCATCAAATGACGTCAGAACAGCATGCCATATTGATATTGTTAAGTATCGATACACAGGCACGTACCCGCCTGCCGTGTACCTGTTCTGGGAATAGATGGAAATTAAATATTTCTTAGCTAGCGACGCAATTCGTAACTATAACCTCTCTTTTGCCATAACCTCTGAACTCTTCGACCGACATTGGCCCTTTACGCGGAAGTTGTAAATAATTTAGATCAGAAGATCGAATGCGATGATTTATATATACTATATAGGATGGCTTTTTTGATAGATATCGGGATTTTAAAATAGAATATCCCGCTAAATGCGATCCGCTTTAACCGTATATATAAAAAGCGATTGTGATTTTATCAAAATAAAATCGAGAAAATAGTCAATAGCTGAACGACACATGATTTGCGCTCATTTTCATATATGCATGAAAGAATAGATAGAAATATTACATGCAAGAGAATTTCAAAATCCCGCTAATTTGATAGGAACAGCCTTCGTTTGGTCGAGTCTGCCCCAAGTCTTTAAGCGATTAAATTTCAGGGTTATGGTAAAAAGAAGTGCTTTTTTTTGTACAATTCCCCCTAAAAAAACATCCTCCACCGCTCAAAACAAAACATAAAAAAAAAGAGTAATTATCCAGTTAGGGTTAGTAATGCAGATTGCGCTGGAAATGCAATTTTTCAAATAATTCCTAACTCCAACTAGATAATTAGTAATTTGTTATTTTAAAACGTGGCGTACGCGGTGCATTAGAGAGGGGGAGGGTTTCGACACTCAAGTATGGCGACGCCCCTCATACACAGGAAGATATTTTTGAAAGATGTAAGTTCTAATGTTCAGGACGTTGCCTACACAATCAACCTAAACCAACATATCTAAATTACTTAACGTTAGGTCACGTACTTTTGTCAAAATCCCGTGTTTTTTTTGGTGCAATAAAGCTAAAAACGAAAAAAAAACACGTTTCCGATTCCATTTACATTCACTAATCGATGACATCGCACCCTGCAACTTTAATTATTCAGTATGTTTTCACGCCAAGAATAAAATGTGTTTTTTTGGGGTTTTAAAAAGATGAAATCAAAGCTTATCTTAGTATTTTTATCAGGTTTCCTAAGAATTCGTGATTTTTTCAAGATTTTATGGAGAGATCATGGTTGTTTCTCCTTTTTTAAAAATACATTGAAAACGTCGTTTTCCGGCATCAAACCAACATGTTTTGCATCCTGTTACTTTTTACTTCATAAAATATAATTTTGATGTCACACATAAGATAAGGTAATGGACTATGTAATGTGTTGTGGATTGTGAGTCCCAGGGCGGATCATGTTTTAGTTGAATACACGGGCAACTGGGACACTTGTTTACTCAACAACGATTATTCGTGCCTTCTGCTTTGAATGAAGCCTCATCCACTGGTCTCTAACACGATATGTATGGAGATACTATTTTTTGAGGAATCGGCATTTTCTATCCAATTCATTACAGCTTGGGTGAATTGGACACACAATGGCAAACTGGAATGATTACGGTATTTACAGATGAAGTTGCGTTATTTGCCTATGTCAACATGTTTTTTTTTGCATTTTTTGTTACACGAATTTACACCAGAAAAAATATGTTGAATGTAAGATGTTTAGAAATTTCTAATTGCCAAATTGTACCGTTACAGCTCTAGTGGGTCCGGAAAAAGTGGGTTTTCAGAAGACTTGAGGGTTTAAAAAGCATTTCCAGCTACGAAAAATTGATATATATAATACAGATTTTTTTTACATTTCACTGAGGGGGATTTGGATGGTTGGTCCGACCCTCATGCATGGCTACGCTACTGACGTGTTGTAATAAAGCAGTATACGAAGTCCGCAGTTAGTATTTAGCATGTTTGTGGGAAGAATGACTTGATATTTTTTGCGTTGAAATTGCTTATTTTTGCCGAATAGAACTTCGAATAGAAATATTCCCGCCGAATTCCGCAATTTTAGAAATGCCATAAATAAAACACAAACAACCAATCAATTAAGAATCATTTCGGGTTTGAATCTCGCGCCACGACCTCAAGTGTATTCAATTGGTTAGACCAGTGGCTCTCAAACGGTGGGCGCGCCCACGAGGGGGTGTAGACTAATTTTTGAGAGGGCGTGAAGCTAATTAAAACAAGAGAGAGCTATGCTCAAATATATGGACACGTAGAGTCACATAATTTTGATGACGTCATAGAGCAAAAAAAAGTAATAGCCTTCTGAGAAAATTTTTATCTTTAACCACTGAAAATTTCAAAGCAATTGGTCCAGTATTCGAAGAGAAAACCGATTTCTTTAGAACGTGTTGACGGAGACAAATAATAACAATAACAACAAAATTTTGAAACGATCGTTATGTCCACTACGTGTCCAATAAAAATATTTGTTAGCTTTGAACTTGCCCGCCGTATTTTGAATATTTATATTTCAAAACTTTTCATTTATTTCATTATTTACGTTCCATCCAGGTATTTTCAACGCGTTGGTTTTTATAAAACATACTTTCGCCTTACTATCTGTTATTTGTAGCTTATTGTTAGAAAGTTATTTTTGAGGTGGGACGCGGCGAGACTTGACAAATTCTAAAAAGCGTGCGTTGAGAACCACTTTGTTAGACACTGCCGAACGAGAAAGATTCCAGTTCAACCCAAATATCAGTGACTAATCTGACGTGGTCTTATTCAGAGCGAAAGAGCCGAATAATCGTCATGTAAAAAAGTTACACTCGCATCTCTGTGCTTTTGATCGGGATAACTTAAAAGTTTTTCAAAACGGGGCAATTCACCAAGCGCAGTAACAAACGATATGCTCGACTTTATATAAACAATATAAAATATTTAAATATCAACACAAAATTTGACATTATACATTCGTTTACTTTTATATAAACTTCAATGAATAGATAATACATAATGAATGCGGTTATTCCAACATTATATAACAAGACAACGTTTTAGGATTATTTTTTTTACTTTGAAATGAGTTATGAATTATTTAGCTTGATAATATCATATTTATTATTGTTTTGAATTCTGAAATTTATTATGTAAAAGCATAATTCATCTACTTTTATTTTTAATAGCTTTTCATCAGGTAATTTACGCACCATGTATAAAGCTGGCAAATAAAGAATGGATCGTTTGGATAAATTCTTTAATTACTGCTATAAAAGCGAAGAAAATTATTTAAAATAATTTTTATTTATTTAATTTATTTAAATATTATTTTATTTAAAACCTAAATCTTTTGTTGTGTATGATTATACCCGAAAGTAATTTAGTACATTTTGCACACAGTTTTGTTAGGTTAGGATTTACATATTTATCCCGAGGAAGCGAAAAACCTATGAGAAGACTTGATTATATGGCGAACCACGGCATCTCGTCCGGTTACCATTCCATGTCGGGTATGGGATTGGTTACCCAGTTATTTGTTTTCAGAAGCATGGACTTGATGGCGGACGAATCTGTAAATGGATAGGTTAGGATTTACATATTTATCCCGAGGAAGCGAAAAACCTATGAGAAGACTTGATTATATGGCGAACCACGGCATCTCGTCCAGTTACCATTCCATGTCGGGCATGGGATTAGTTAGTCAATTATTTGTTTCAAAAGCATGGAGTTGATGGTGGAGAAAGCCGTAACCCAGGGTTTCCGCGGACCCATGTGGGTTCGTGATGAATGCAGAGGGGATCCGGGACGATATTAAAAAAAGTCTAATGAATTTGTAATGATTGATTTAAAGCCATTGGTTCTTTTCTTTGGAACGATTTAGACAAAAGTTGCTGACAAAATTAGTGTCAGAATGGGCAATTAGAAAAATCTACCTGTGTGGGGCAGCATTTTCAGCTCCTACCAATTTGATGTGAAAATTAAGGTCGAGAATTGCCGTAGAGTCGGACCTACGAGTTTGCTTGTCACCAATTGCTACGACAATTGATAAATAGTGCAGTCGGAAGCAATCTCATTCAACACATTAATATCGTTCGTGTTATTGTGAAAAATTACTCTTCCTCGATTGTAGGCATAGGGTGGGGTTCCGTCAGAAATAGGATTATAAAACAGGGGTCCGCGGCCGACAAAGTTTGGGAAACACTGCCGTAACCGACAAGCGGTTACGTGAACCGCCCTATGTTCTCTGTAGAATAATGTTGCAAACTGACTTGGGTGCTCCCGAAGTATGCGAACCAAGATGGCGGACATCGGAACGTAACATGGGTAACAGGTTAGGGTTAAGCGATAATTTTTTTCCAATTTTCCTTATTTTAGTCCTGTTATCAGTTCGAAGACTAGCCAAGAGCCTCCCGTAGTATTTATACCTAAAATTATGGCCTAACCCTAACCTAGTACACATATTACATTCCGATGTCCGCCATCTTGGTTCGCATACTTTGGGAGCCCCCTGACTTGGGATATGCTTTTAAGAAGAGAGGTCACCCTGTACGCATTTTATTGTTACCGTGCATTCAAAACAATTCATTTTCTCGGTTGTATAATCTGCAAAAGGGGTATTCACGCTTTTAGCCATATTTGCAATTTAAGACATTCGGTGTGACGAATTCTTTTTTTAAGCGCAGGGGAATTTTGAACGCCTGGTAAGATTACTGTTGTCGCTTTTCTCCGCGATTGTTGGACCAATCAAAACAAACAATTAAAGCAAAATTTAGAGTGGAATATTGACTACATAGGTCTCAAAGGGAAAAAAAAAACATTCATTATTTAATGAC